GTAGTCTAGGAGCTGACCTTGCCTGTGAAGACTGAGATGAAAAGGCATTGAGTACTTCAGCCTTTTCCACTTCATTTATCATTAGGTTGCCTTCCCCATTTAGTAAGCGACCCACAGTTTCCCTGATTTTCCTCTTGCTCCCAACAGACTTGTAGAAACCCTTCTTGTTACCCTTCACATCCCTTGCTAACTGCAACTCTCACTGTGCTTTGGCCTTCCTGATTTCATCCCTGCATGCCCAAGGAACACTCTTATATGCTTCCCTAGTTATTTGTCCAAGTTTCCACTTCTTAGAAGCTTCCTTTTGTGATTTAGTTGACTGAAGAGTTCCCTGTTGGTCTTTAGCCATATTTGCTAGTCTTCCTGCTCATTGGGATGCTTTGTTCCTGCACTCTCAGTAAGACTTCTTTCAAGTACAGCCAGCTCTCCTGGACTCCTCTCCTCCATAATCTGGCTTCTCAGGGGATCCTGCCCATGAGTTCCCTGAGTGAGTCAAAGTCTGCTTTTCTGAAATCATGGACCAGAGCATAGAGCACAGCAGCCACAGGCAGTTTTATTTGTACATACACATGGAGATAGTGCTCCCCACCTAGTGGTTAGAGCTCACCAGAAAGTAGAAGGCAGGAGTCATTTACTGGCCGTTGCCCCTCTCCCACTTCCCAGCCTAACCATTAGGAGCTGGGCTAGCTGGAGAAAAATGGTACCTTCTCTTGGTAAAAATGTACAGAAAGCAACTTGAGCTTTCTTTAACCAGGGATCTGGTACTGGTCTCAAGACTAATTTTGTATTGTATCCATTTTCCTGTGAACTACAGAACACAGAAACTGTCCTAGGGGCAGGACAGGCTTCTCAGGGAGATCTCCTAACCCTAGGCCATAAATTCAAGCTCCCTTGTGTGCACTCTCTGCCCCACTGAAGCTGGTCACAGCTGTAAGAGGACCAGCCAAGGTTTCTCTCCCACAGACACCAACTTGCCAGCTGGTAGTTAAGGGGAGGTAGAAAATGTGGGTTTGTGGCAGGTCAAGCAGAGCTGGGAATTAAACTAGGGTTTGCCATTTCTTGAGTAGACGCTCTACCAATTAGAGACCATTATGTAAAGAGGGTGCAGTGCATCAGCAGCAGTTCTAGTGCTTTAGAATAAGGGTCAGCCACTTTTCACGATGTGGACCCAAGTAACACAGCTCTGTGCAGAGGCAGTTGTTAAATATTCTACCACTAGATGGTGCATTTTCCTGCAAAATGTAGTAACAGTGAAATAGGAACCTCCCTGACAAAATGTCATTTCTGGTGTGCTTGGCAGGCTAAATAAAATCTCTTTGCTGGGGGATCTGGCTTGCTGTCTGTAGTTTGCCCGTCCCCACATTAGAAGAAAGCAGCTGCCAGCCACTGTGAAAAGCCTGATCCTCCCAGCTTACATTAGAAAGGAACATCTACCAGCTCAAGCCCCAGGGAAATTAGGTGGAAGAACATCCAGTTTCTGGCTCTCTCTCAGCCTTAGGCATGAAGTAGGTGCCAAGTGGAGCAGACTGTGCAATGTGATACAGGTCTGGGCAAAAGCAGCAGTACAATACTGGCCATGTGGGGAACTCTTAAGCCAGGAATTAAGGTGCATATGACCTGTAGGTGCCTTCACAGTAGATGACAACAGATCAGTTTTCAGGATGTCGTTTCTGGATTTTTGCACCAAACACACTGAGTGAATATTCAGGTGCCTAAGCCCCTTTAAGAGCCTACGTCTTTTTTGGGAGCGTCTGTCAATAAGTCTCCCCTGGTTTCTGGTTTCTTTCTTCAACTTGAAGTCTTATCAATCCTAAAAGTGCAGTTCCGAACAGTCTTGCGTATTTGATTTCATGTGTGAAAGTGAAAACTTTTCATTTGCTTGCTATAAAAGACTGAGGAATCTCCTTTTGTCCCAGCCACATGCCTTTGTGAGTTAACTTGCCCTGAATGATAAACAATGTTTCCAAGCTTGTCATCGTTTCAGGTTGTATCACACAGCCAGGGGAATGCATTCTGGCTGCCAGGTTGCAGCTGCGTCCGTATCCATGGCTCTACTGGCTGCAATCAAGTTTCTGTTTCACAGAGATTTGTGACTACCACTGGGTGGCACTGAAAACCGCATTACTGTATCGTCAAGCCCAGTATATTCAAGTTCTTACTCAGCATTTGTAATACACTTTCCTAAAGAGAACACTCGCCTGTCAAAAACATATCAGTTGGGTTTTTTTAATTTCTTAATATTTATGAATTCTTGTAATGTTTTATAAACACTGAATCTTTTCAGGATTTAACCCACTGAGAAACTTTCTAAGAAAGTAGCCTTTCAATTGTAAATTTTTCAGATCATAGAGAAAATCAAAAGATTTTGTATAAATATTTTTTTTAAATGAAAGAACAGAAAATCAGGGGATAGTGAATAACAAATCTCTGCTTTCATTTTTAATGTAAGGGTGCCCAAGGTCAGGAATGTTTGTGAGAAGGTAATTCAGAAAATACTTTAGGGCCCTATGATTACTGGCTTTGGAATACATCCAACTGGTATCGCATATCAATATAGTAGTCTTTTCTTTGGCTCTTTTGCCACCTATATGGTGAAAGCATGGAGTATCTACCTAATTTTTCATGCTTTTCTAGGTGCTAAAGGAGAACAAAGAAAAGATTAAAACTTAAGGGAACTAGTTTGTGAAGTCAACTGGACTAAAGATTTTGGGACTTGCGCGTGGAAGAATCTTAGATTTGATTCAAGTCAAAGGAGCTCATATTATTAGAAGTGTGTCCCAAGCAAGAAAAAAAAACTTGAAGATTGGTTCTTGAGATCTATCTGCATAAATAACCACCTTAAGAAGGATATTAGAAATAAGCGTGAGCAGATCTAGACTTTGAAAAGGTGGTTGCAGATGGTGAACTGCATCATCACATATAAAATAGAACGTTTTTCTCCAGTTAAAAATAAACTAGAAGCTTTAGTAATATGCTAAGGTCCCAGGGATGTATTATTAAGATTAAAGCAAAAATAAATATAATTTCATTGGAGTGAGTTAAAAACAATCCGCAGGCCTGTAAAATAGGAGCTTTGTTACTAGAAGCAGTTAAAAGACAGCAGAATTGCAAAACAAAGGATAGGTTGTTTGGTGGAAGATCAAGACCATTAAAAAGAAGAGAGGGTTGTTAACACCTGGAATTAAGAGTTTACAAGGGATCAGGTAGATTATAATGAGCCGTGAAGCCAAGTGACTCCCTCATCACTGCCTGACTAGAAATGCTGCTGCCCCTGCCAGGCAGCTGATTTTAAACTTTGGGTGGACCAGGGATAAAAGGCAGTGCATGTGCACCAGTGCATCCCCCCGGATCTGCCCCCTGGAAATAAGCAGAGCATCTACAAAGAATATATTTTTAAAAAGTAGCTGATTACCAAAAAAGCTAAGACTGAGAGATCAAATGATATAAAGCTAAAGTAAGAACAGCGACAAGTTAAGCTGAGTTATACTTTGCAAAGAATATTAAACAAAAAAATCTTTTCCAGGCTGCATCACTATCTAAACAATCCCAGACAAGTGTTTGTCTCAGCCAGTGGATCCCAACCTTTTTAAGATTCAGGGCCTTAAAAATGCCAGTTCTTAGCTTTCACTCATTTTTTGAGTACAAAACAATAACCTTAGTTTCAGAGGGCACATCTATATGAAAAGTTTATTGCACAGTTGGCTAACTGCACAGTAAACATCTTGGTGTCTAAACATGCGCACCTATTAGGGCGCACAAAACTAACAAACTTGCCAGCCCTGTGGCACAGGGTGCTTCAGTGCAGGGCTAGCCAGCAAGCAGTCCCCATGCTGAAGCACCCTCTTATCTCAGCCAGCCGCTCCACAGCACATGGACCTCAGTAAGAGCCGTTCTGGACTACTCTGACCAGGCTCACTACATGCTACACACAGATCATTATGCTCCAGAGTTTTTTGCTCCCAGCCATTCATTCAAATGATGTGCCCAGGAACAAAAACCCCACAGCATATTGCTCTGGAGTTTATACACGCACATTAATCACACGTGTAGACACACCCAGAAGCATTTAGTTATGTTGACTTTGCGGGGACACAAAGACATGGGGGTTAATGAGAATGAGTGTATGGAAATGGCTATTTATTGCAACCAAAGTGGAAGCCAAACTCAAGGAGTTGAAATCAGAGCCAGAATTCCACCCTAAAATGCTGAAAGAACTAACATAGGTCTAGAAGCAAGTATTTTACTAAATCTGTCATGTTGGGAACAATATCACATAATTAGCAAATGTAGTATTTATATTTAAGAGTAAGGTAATAATTGTTCCAGAGCCCACAGGCATATTAATCTAACCGCAATATCATGTGAAGTTTCACAACAATTTTTTGCAAGAAATAATAACAGAAGTTAAGGCAGTAAGTGGAAAATGGGATAAAACAGAACACAGGATTTTCATTGTTAGATTGTACCAGACTAACCTGCTCTCTCTCTCTCTCTCTCTCTCTCTTTTTTTAACAAGACAGATTTTCTAGACAAGATGAAGTCAGTAGAACTCCTCTGTGCAGATTTTGGGAAAATATCTGATATAGTGACATGGGCAATGATTAGCCACAAGCAGTCTAATGTGGGCAAGATGACAATGCATAGTATTGAAAGAAAAAGTATTAGGCTGGAGGTTTTCAGCCGAATTCAAGGATTAAATTTAGACATATTCATGTTTAGTAAAAAAAAAAAAAAAAAAAATCTTCACTAATAACTTTGGTACAAAACATAGGAGTGTGTATAGGAGTGGGGGACTAACAACAATTTCTATAAACTGGGAGAGGTCATAACTGGAACTGTCTGAGGAAGAAAACATCCCAAATTGTTTTCACCACAGATTGGTGATTACAGAGTGAATATGAGCTATCATTCTGATGAGACTGAAAAAAAGTTAATTCAATCCTAGAATCTTTCCCAGTAAAGATAAAAAAAATATTAATGCCATTGTACAAAGCACTGGCATGATCTCATTTGCACCACAGTGTGAAAATTTTGGTCACTCACTTTCAAGAAAGATGAACTCATATTAGAACAGGTGCAGGGAAGGGATGACAAGGGAGGGACAGCTTATCATACAAGAAAAAACTAGAAGTTGGCTTGTTTTTGGCTAGGAAAACACAGGTTATGAGGGGATATAATTGCTTTTCATGGATACTTCATGGGGGGCAATGTCAAAGAGAGAAAATCTATTTAAATACCTAACCATTTCTACAACAAAGCTGGCTCTATCTGTAAAAGGGATTATAGGGCCTGTAATAGACCTGACTCAATAATCCAAGTGGTCTCTTTGGACCCTGGCACACATTAATTTAAAAGTGCAATGAGATCTGAGAAATGTTATCCCTCAGTTTTAGGGGTGTAGGTTGTAGCCGTGCTGGTCTAAGGACATGGGCAGACAAGGTTCTTTGGGTGAGTCTGATATCTTTTATTAGACCAGAAGCAAAATTCCTCAGGCCCAGAACACACCAAATGGATCCAGACCATGCCATGACAAGAAATGCAAAACCTGCCAACACATCTCCACCACCCCCACAATTACTACACCTCACAACAGAGCCATCAGCATTCCCGGATCTTACAACTGCACCTTCAGAAATGTAACATATTTCATCCGATGCCCTGATGGAAAATACATAGGAGAGACCAAACAACAACTGTGCACCAGAAAGAACACACACCGGAAATCTATCCAAGACAGGAATACCCAATTACCTGTGGGGGCACATTTCTCACAAGAAAACCACTCTCTCTCCAACCTCTCCGTCCTGAGCCTCAAAGGAAACTTACAAAACACTTCCCAGAGACGAGCCTATGAACTCACTTCATCAACCTCCTGGATATTAAAAATCATGGACTAAATATAGACATTGGATTTATGACACATTATAACCTGCCTGACATCTGACTCCCTACGTATCTCTCCACTATTCATCCCCCTTCTCTCT